TGAATTAGTAAAGCTAGGTCTAGTCAAAGAGCATGTTTTGGTTAGATAATTTGGCAAGCGAGAGGTATTAGAGAATGTTAATATCTTTCAGTACCAACTTAGAATAGCAATCACAAATTACATTAAGTCATTATCAGGTTAAATGACAACATTAAGAACTAGAACTGGAAGCACTTTTACAACTTGTTTACAAATCTATTTCATTTTCTTCATGTTTCAAAGTTGATTGTTATTTTCATTATTTGACTTCTACAAACAAATCCCCCTTTGTGACCAAAGTACCTTGCGCAAAGAGGTATAGACTTTTATCTCGTGTCTCTATGATTCGATCCTGCTTGCCTTGTAATACTTTTTAGTGCATTAAAGCAGTGTATTTGGAGTCTCTTGTACCCCTATTATTTGTTGGGTTTTACACACCTAACAGTGTTCCTCGAAACCATCTCTTTCCTACTGCTTCCCGGTGCTTAAGTACAAACTGGTTCATAGAACATATGAGAAAAACTTAAGAATATTGTTTCTAAATGAAATGGCTCTCATTATAAACTATTAGTAATTTTTATCATTCCATCGATATATATATATATATATATATATATATATATATATATATATATATATATATATATATATAGTCTAAAGTGTGTAGGTAGTTTTTGAATGCAAAGAACGAAACAATCAAATAGGAGCTAATATTCGCTTCAAGTAGGGGTGCAAATAAGCTGATCCGAGCCAGCTTGATCAGGCTCAACTCAGGCTCGTTTATGTTATACGAGACTTGAGCTCGTCTCGATTAAAGATTTCTTGTACTGAGCTCGGCTCGTGCTCGTAAAGAATTATACAAGCTCGGTTCAGGCTCGGGCTCGGCTCGTTTTTTGTCTGACGTGCCTAAATAAGCTTAAGCTCGGCTCGAGCTCGTTAAGAAGCTCGTTTATTAATACCCTAAATCCCTAATTTCCCAAATATGTTTTTATTTTAATGTATAATAATAATAATAAATTATATTATATAAAGGCTCGTTTAGGCTCGCGAGCCTAATCGAGCATAGTGACATAGGCTCGAGCTCAAGCTCGTTTAATAAACGAGCTTAATATTAAGCTCGATCTCGGCTCGAGATCGTTTAAAATCGGTTTCGAGTTGAGATTTTAATGAGCTGATCCCGAATAGCTCACAAGTAGCTTGGCTCGTTTGCACCCCTAGCTTCAAGAACATAAATAAATTCAAAAAAAATTATGGGTACCTCCATTGATAATGATGGTGCTATAGTTTTTTCACCTACTGGGCAAGCCGATCAAACTTACCATCCCTATAACTAAGAACCAAAGCAACAAAATATTGGTCCCCAATTGAGAATTAAGCAGCGAAAAAAACAAAAAAAAAATACATTGATTCTTCCGATATTTGTGAGGATAATGTTGACATATTGGGTTGACATATGTGTTACTATGGTTATCCATTTGACTTCATTGTAGAGACGAACCGAGGAAGCCGTAAAGTCTATGTAAAAAAACGTTCGGTACAAAACTGAAGACAAATAAACAAAATACCTACTTCCTTCCATTCATGACCGAATGAATCTGCTAAATCCTTCCATCTATGATTGAATAACAACCCATATGTTGAAATTAATCTACTAAAAATGAAAAAAATTCAATACAAAATTGAAACAATAAAGGGTCGTTATTCACAGCTTCTGAGTCGTCATCATCAGGGTTTTAATTTAGAGAAGCCTTTCACTTAGATTTTGTAACAATTGGTAAAAATAGAAACGATCGTACGATACTATATTTTGATTTTTAAGCAATATGAATATT